ACTACAAATTCAGTGCAGCGAGACTAGATGTGATTTGCAGGGCAGTAAGCAATGTGATGAACTCAGACTAGATTTGTGGTATGCAAGAATAAAACAACCTTAGTAGATTATGTCATACTAGCTGTACCCGTTGCAGTTTCGCTTGCAACCAAAGGATCCAATACAGAATGTAGATTGACACACAGACAGACACACAGACAGACGTTTCATCTTTATCTACACTCATCTGGGAGGACTCTTGTGGGAGGACTCAGTGGGAGGACTCGGCGCTTTAAAAATATAATTTTGTTGTTTTTGCTGCGGCTTAGCTTCGTCTGTGTTCTTTATTTGGTTCCCGCCACTTGGCTACGGTGTGCTCTGTGACGCAGGCTGCCACAGTGCCACTGTCAGCCAGTGAGGCCACCAGGTGTAGCTACAGTGTGTATGTACATACAAAGGTGCTCTGTGATGCATGATGCCACAACACCACCTTGACTCGATGGGCACCAGGTGTAACTGCAGCGAAAAACGCAAAACTGAAAATAACTCAATAACAATAGGCTATACCTGAAAACAAATATGCCCATGTTACTCCCACATGCAAGACCTTTTCAGTGAGGTATAAATGACTTCTCTATGTCAATTGGTTATTGAGATCCTTCTTGAAGCGCAGACAGACATTGTTGTTTTATTAGTATAGAAGAAGATGGAAGAAGATAGATAGAAGATTGATGTGTAAACTATATTAGAACTATACAATAATCCTTGCATTTGATATAATGCCTTATCATGTCATTGAGCTGTCTCGTACCGATTCACAGAATATATTGTAAAATGGATTGACTGTGCATTTTGTGGACGAAACAAGGTAGCCAATTGCACCCAACAGTGTCCCACAAACAGTTGTGGAGGATGTACCAAAAGCACTTCACAGGGCTATGTGTTTTGTGGGCAAACACGGTAGCCAAGTTGCGCAGTTGAATATCCCACACACAGCCATGAGGTGAATGATCAACTTTATTGGGAGATTGTTGGCCATGACACTGTGAGACACTCCCTTCTCTTTTTGAAAAGTGCCATGGGAGGTTCAATATCTACCTGTGCAGGCAGACAGGACCTTGGTTTCATGTCTCATCTGATGGATAATAGGATGGATTAAGGGTAAAACATGAGCATAGATTACTAACTAGCTACAAAGAGGTAGTCATTAGCTAAGATAGGTCAAAATTGACCTGGGATGTCGAGGGAAATATTAAGTAGGGTGCCTCAAGGGACCCATCCTGTTCCTGATGTACAAAAATGACTTGAATTTTGAGTTTCAGTGCAAAGTGAGATTCAGTGCAATAATTTGAAAATGGCATAAAGCTGCAGGAATGGTGGCATCAAAGGGAAGAATCTAACAATGGGTTCAGCACTGGCAAATCAAGTTCAGTGAGTCAAATCTAAGGTGCTGCATACCAAGGGAGAAGTTGAAAAAGAACTGTTGACTCCTTGGTGCTTACTTGACTCATTGCTCACGCTATAGAGGTGAAGTGGAAATTAAAAGGGAAATACATAGCAAGTAAGGGTATTAAAAGCATATGCAGTAAAGAAAGGGAAATTGGAATAAAGTATTGGCTCTAATCTTAAATGGTGTAACAAGCGTGATGGTTTGAATGCCTAACTAATGTCCTTGTGTTCCTAGGTTCCTGTAACATTAGAATAAGGTTATTCTATATGTAGCTTATCATAGTCTCATGCGTTTTAATATCTTCCTCTGCAAATAATCTCATAGACAAATCAACGAGAGATGGATCACAGGAAAATCTGGAATGCAGCTGGTGTTGTCTTGGATATTGATTCAGGTTTGTGCATACAACTGGTTGTAACACTACTCAGTTCACCAATCGAGAATAATCTTGGAAATTAGAATCTACAGGAACATAAGTAAACAATTGTTGATTGGACCTAATATCCTCACAGATGACAATATTCTGATATTGGCTTGATGATTATACCCCTCCCTGATGTTCAGTATAGAAGAGAAACAACATGGTCATTGTTTCCTCTCCTTATCCAGTGACTCCTACTGGAAAGTGTGTATGTGGACCTGGGTTTGGATTCTGTCATGAAGCTCTCTATGTTGAAAAACAACTTTCCTCCTTGGTGGGGGAGATTAGTAAACTAGGTCTCCTTGAACTGTCTCCAAGATTCCAAGGTAATATGCTTGGCAATAGAATATTGGAAATGAGTCAATACGGTCTCGGTAATCCAGTTCCTGAGGTAGGTGGGATTCTTCCCAATCATCTGTTTAATCCTGAAAGCCAAAGCCCTAACGTGTAAGATGGTCCGAGCTGGATAAGCAGCAGGGCACTTGCTTAACAGTGCTTTCAGTGGCAAACTGCAGTTTTAGCTGGTTAACCTTCAGCAGTACCCCAATGCACACTTTGGGTTCCTCAAGCCTTGGCTCTTGCCAACCCAAACCTAATAAGCTCCAGAAATAGGTAAGCAGATGCATCTCTTTGGGGAAAGAGTGCATATTCCATTCTACACAGGGAAACTTCTATGTGTAGATGGCATATATGGAAATTTCAGCATGGTTTGGACACTCTTAAAGCATAGTAATGGAGTTTCTGCAAAGATCTGATACTCGACTGAACAAAAACAAAACACACACTAGCTAGTTTCACACAGAGAGCCTGGCCATTTGAGCAAGCTATCAAGACCAATGGAAATGTACTGCAGCATGAGACAATGCTTACAGGGGAGAAGGCAAGAAAACTGAAAAAGAACACAGATAAATTGTGGCTCTTTTTCCTGCTTTGCAAGACTTATCCTCCTTGGTCACTCACCTCTACAACTCTTTCTCCACCACTAATTAGGCCCATTGCCCTCCTCACCTCCTGAACTACCTCCTACTCACTCAAATCACCTGGTACACCAGTCACCTTCACTCCCTCAAGGCACAGGTGTGTGCTGCAAATCTAATGGTCCATTGGTAGATCTGGCTGGACCACATTAAAACTTACCACTCCGCCTTTGCCTACTCTAAATCACCCTTCTACTCCAAGATAATCTTGGAGGCCAAAGACAACTCCAGGCTCCTCTTCTCCACCACTAACTAGTTCCTCCCCCACACCTCACCCAGACTCTTCTCCAACTGTGAGGAGATGTTGAACTTCCTCGAGACCAAAATTGAGGGGATCCGCTCAGCCACCTCTGCCCTCCCAACCACTATCGCCTCCCCATCTCCCCCTCACACCCCTTGACTCCAGGATCACTGCTGTCCTGACAGAATGTCTCAAACATTAAAGGCCTGGACGAAAGCTAACTTTCTATAGTTGAATGTCAACAAGACCAAGGCTCTCCTGATTGGCTCCCATCAGTGCCTCCTCACCTCAGGCGTTGACAGCATCACCATCTAAGTATACACACCCCACCTTGCTAAGCCAGTCCAGATCCTTGGCATCTTGTTTAATCCTCAACTGTCTTTTTTATCCGACATCCATGCTTTGACCCGCTTGGTCTTACCCCACCTCCACAACATCACCCAACTCCACCACCTTTCAGGCTGCCAAAATCCTTGTTCATCACATTTAGGCTTGATTATACCAACTGCCTGCTTGTTGGCCTCCCCAACTCTTCCATCTACAAGCCACAGATCATGCAGATCTCTGCAGCTCATTTCTTCTCCTGCACCAGGTTCCATGACCCCATCAGCCCCACCCTCAACCGGCTCCACTGGCTTCCCATCCTCCACATGATAGAGTTCAATATCATCATCCTCGGCTTCAGGGCCCTCCAGGGCCTTGCTGCTTCCTATTTCTGTGACCTGCTAACCCCATATCAACCTGTCCGCTCCCTCCGCTCAGCAGGCTGGGGCTGCTCCACATTCCCTGCCCCACCCGCCCCACCACCGGCGGTTGAGCCTTCAGCCTCTCTGCGCTCACCCTTTGGACCTCCCCCAGCCTCTTCACCTTGCTCCCTCCCTTGCCTCCTTCAAGATATGTTTCAAGATCCTCTTTGATCATGCCTTTGTCTACTTTCCTACCCATACCCTCCCTACCCTCCATTTCCCCTGATCCCAACTGCCAGCCAAACCCAGTCTAAATCCCTGACTTTGGGATATCCTCCCGACATGAAAGACGCTATAAATGTAATTTGTTGTTGTTGGTTGTGAGGATGGATCAGTTATTCTTCAATGATGTTCCTTTTCCATTCCTTCCTGTATTGAGAGTACCTAATTGTAAAAGCTTTGAAACTATCTGGCATTTTTATTTGTACAATAAAGATTACTTAAAAAGTGATAAAAATGGTGCAGTCGAGTTTTTTGTACAATGAAATATGTGAAGAAAATGATAAGGAATGCTTTAAAAATATTTAGCTTTCTATGGTAGCAAGGACAAACTAAACTCACTTAATCATCATCAAGGTAAATGTTTTTTTTATTTGTATACAAAGTAAATGTATTGATCCACAATAATACATACAATGGCATTATTTATTTATCACTTGGTAACTTTCCCAGAAATATTAGAATGGCTTCACTGTTATCTATTTGCTTGTTTTTTTTCAGTCCATTTACAAAAGAGAATTATATACATTGATGTGGGGGGTTTGTTTGACAAGTGGTTAATGCTCAAATCAGTTCTCACTTGGTAAAATAGGTGCATTTTTTCTGAGACGGTAGTGCATCCAATAATTGTGGTCTTTTTNGTTTTGATGATAACAAGACAATAGACCCAAGACATAAAATGTTGCCTGGTTCATAGAATTACTATGTGTCCCATTTGTGGCAGACTTTTTAAATAGAGCTAAGCCTCTTGGAAAGACTGGATAATTCTACCCAATAAAGTAGTTGGGACAGAAGGTTACACCTACAAATACACATTCATCACCAAAAAATCTCTGTGAAATGCTTTGAGACGTTTGATGTGACATATCAAATGCAAGGATTGTTTTATTATGCATACATAAACACTACCCCAAGAACATTTGACCGTTTGAATGTCTATTTTATTAAATCTTTATCTTTTTGAAAGGTTCTTGGGCTGATCGCTCACCTTTACATGAAGCAGCCAGTCAAGGTCGGCTTCTATCCCTCAAAACGTTACTTGCCCAGGTAAGTGAATGCACATCTTATTGTCCTAATGTGTTTTAATCTGTCATATTTGACCCCAGATTTACCACTTGTATTATTTGTCTGACAACTGTGAAGCTTACTGTTCAATTATCACTTACATTTACACTTCTATTTGTTAGTGATATTGTACAATTTTATAATCATATGACATTTTAGAAGTCTGAAAACAAAAGAAATTCAGAAATATACAGGAATAAATTTTGCGTGTTTTGATAATTTATTTTGAATGATCACTACCATTTGCTATGTTCAATGTGAATTCACATTGCTGACTTCAGTAGTCTATGAAGGGTGTTATGTAAATGCAAGTAGTTGTTGGATTGAAACTGAACATGACAATACATTTAAAAAATCCTTATATTTGGTACAGTGCCTTTCACGTCAGGAGGAAGTCAATGAGGGCTTCACTGGATATACTGTAAGGGAAGTGACTGCATATTTTGTGGGTGAACACCAGTAAATGGCCCGTACATTTGTTTCCCCGATCACCCCCAACCCCAGAGTGCTCTGACTTAAAATCAATCCATCATCATCTTTTTTAAAAAGTGTGGCAACTTTTGCTGTTGAACTTTAAGCCATAAAGAATGTGATACATATGTTTACATTTTAATAGTTATTTCTGGAGCAAAATCCTCACTCTCTATGGCCCCAAAATGTTTATCCCACTAGTGATCAAGACCATTGGTCTTATTCTTCCTCTTCAAATGATCATCCAATTCACTTTTAAATATTGTTATGGTATAATGTTGAGGAAAAACACTTAATATTCTGATAACTCCCTGAGGGAAAACCTTTCTTCTAACATCCCTCTTCCAGTGATGATCTTTTCTAGTGATTTTCCAAAGAGCAGGAATAATCTTTAACTATCTCTTCTCTCAAAACTTTTTAGAATTTTGATCCCCTATTTCAGGTCTCCTCTAAATCTTTTCTAATTCAGTGAATTTCTTGTGCTTAGAATCATAGTTATATCTCTTGCCCTCATTAAGGACTATGCTGCGCCCTAGACATCTGTACAAAGCATTGATATTGGTATTTGTACATCTTATTTGAAGAAAGGATATCACAGCCAAATGTTTGATGCTCAACCAGGAGACCTATTTAACATATGGACTGAAATGGGTAGTTACAGAGTGAGCTCTGTCTACATGGATAAACTGTGTTAAACTGTGAAGTGATACCGAACAAAGAAAAGTTTAGAACTTGTTTTTGCAATACAGCTGTAAAGCTGCTTTAGCATTTGATTGTACCATTGTATACAGTATATGTTTCTGAATTTCAGGGTCAAAAAGCAAATACATTGACAATTGATCACGTTACCCCACTCCATGATGCCTGCCTGGGAAAACATGTAGCCTGTGCCAAAGCTCTTATAGAGGCAGGAGCCAATGTAAGTACCTTTACATACAAGACAGATGTCACAATTATCATTGTTGTCATCATTATGATGCCTATTATCCTTCATTACTGTGGCTTTTGGTTTGAATACACCTCGATTTGGATGATTAAAATTCTGAAAATTAAAATCTGAAATGTATAGTGAAGCAACGAGCCTCCCAGGTCACAAAGGACATGAAAATAGGGAGTGTAGTTAACAATGAAGAAGATTGTAAGCAACTAAGAGGGGGGGGGGTTAGTTGATTGGGCAAAGAAATAGCAAATGAAATATAATGCAGACAAATTTGAGATTATACATTTTGAGGAAGAATTAGGAGAACAAGTGGTAAAATATTGTTGGGTGATATCTACCCAAATATTGTTGGATTACGTAGTAAGATATTCAAAGGAGTGGAAGAGCAAACCGACTTGGGGGTTAGTGTACATTAATCCTTAAAAGCGCAAAGTCGGGTGGACGATACTGTCAAAAAAGCTAATGGAATCTTAAGTTTTATAAATAGAATATAAAAGCGAAGAGGCAATGCTAAATTACATAAATTGTTAGGTAGACTGCAGTTAGAATATTGTGTCCAGTGTATGCATGTTAGGCAGGGTCAATCATCTCCTTTCTACAGTGTCAAACAATAGATCAAAACAGTGTCTCCTCTCATTGTCTTCATGTAACTGTAGTCATTAGAAAGAACTTAATAATAATCATCCTTACATTTAATATAGCACCTTTTACATCAGGAAGACGTTCCAAAGCACTTCACGGGGTATACTGTAAAGTGTATGTTTTGTGGGAAAATGATGATATCCTTGGTGGGAGATAAGCGAGGTCCCCTTTGAGTTAACTTGGGTACTCACATCTTAGGTCTGGAGACATGCATGCCTGGGGAAGCCTGGTAAATGCACTATGTGATTTGAAGATGGGCAAAGAGTGGGTAAGAAGGAGGGATTGAGGCAGGAAGTTCCAGAGATTGGAGGCATTGTGGCTGAAATCGCAGCTGACAATGGAGGAGAGAAGGAGACGAGGGATATGTAAACTGAGCCATTCTGTTAAACCAATATTAAATGTGTGATGTCTTGACAGGTACAAATAGGATGGAGTGGTCATGGCTGAGGAGGAGGGTGAGGCTGAGGAAAAGTAGAGGAGAGGGGTGCAATAGATGCACTACCTGATGCCATCTAAGGAAATATGGAGAAAGGAAAAGGAAGTTGGATTAGAAAAACCTGTCATGAACTATCAAATAATTGATCAGGCCTGATGCATCAAATGACCCACTTGAGTTGCAATGTAACTTTGCTTACACCAACAACTTGTATTTATATTGCGTCCTTCACGCGTGTAGCATTTTGGAGCGCAAGTGGTGTGGTATGATGCTAAGTTGGAAAAAAATGGGAGGCGCTCCAGGCATGATCAAAGAGAAAAGTTTTCAGGTGTGATTTGAAGATGGGCAAATAGTGGGTAAGAAGGAGGGATTGAGCCAGGAAGTTCCAGAGATTGGAGGCATTGTGGCTGAAATCGCAGCCGACAATGGAGGAGTGAAGGAGACGAGGGACATGCAGCAGATCCGAGCGAAGGCTGTGGGTAGTGGGGTGAAGAGGACGCACATTTTACCCTCAGGACTCATTCTTTTCACTCCAGTGCATCACCCCACACCATGAGAGCAAGTGGCACATTTTATGCTTCAAAACTGCTGGTCAGCCTGGATGTTTGGTTAAAAAGTTCTCCTAATTGCCAGATAGGGAGTGATTTAGTCCCCACAGCAGGTCAATTACAAATACAGGGTATTATGATAAAGTAATAATAATCCTGGCATATTCATCCACAAAATATACAGTCAATTCATTTGACAGTATATTCTGTGAAGCGCTTTGAGACAGGACTATATCAAATGTAAGGATTATTATTATTATATTCTCTTATAAATAGCTGTAGGCCAACCGATTATCTTAGATTTTATCCAGTCATGTATTAAAACAAACAAAATTCTGCTCCAATGATCCAGTAATATTTGACTTGCTTTGTTTTATAGACAAATGCCATCACTATAGATGGAGTGACTCCATTGTTCAATGCTTGTTCCAGTGGCAGTGCACCTTGTGTGGGCCTCTTATTACAGAATGGTGCAAAACCTCAAGGACTTGAGTTTTGGGCTTCAGCCATCCATGAAGCAGCAAGCAAAGGCAAGCCTTAAACTGTCACACCTAGAACACTCCTACTCTTTAGTTCATCATATGTTTAACTAACCATAGCTTATAATATCCTCGGTGGGAAGTAAGCGAGGTCTTCCTTGAGTTAACTTGGGTACTCACATCTTAGGTCTGGAGACATGCATGCCTGGGGAAGCCTGGTAAATGCACTATAATCCAAGACATTATTGCTAATTGACCATGTCATCCGTTTCATAAAAGTAGAACATTTTCAGACATTGAGCCATTTGGTCCATCATGTTTGTGCAACTATTTTGATAAATTATCTTTTTTTAAATTTAATTGGACTTTTACAATATCCCTTATTATCATTGGGACCTTGGCGACGTAGCCATGGTCTCAATCTGACCTGGAATCTTGGTTCATCAATACGTGCTTATGTATCCAGGTCTTGGTTATCTTCATTGGAATGCAGAAAGGAAGCAGCTTCTGTTCAAGCTCTGCACTTCCAGCTGGTGGGATCATCACTGAATCCATAGGGATTTTTGTCTGAGCAAGAAGATGGTGTCGTTGCTCTCATGCATTTCATGCTGAGTTGTTTTGGTCACCAAGAATTGAACAGATTGTCACAGATACCTGCGCTCCATATAGTGAGGGCTGAGACCTGTGCTTGTCAGCTGTGAAATCAGCAACTAGGAGGTTAAGTGAGGACTCTTTGAGGCTGAGCTACCTCCAAGGCAACAGGCTTGGTATGGAAAGTCATTTGGTACATTTGGTTCTTAGTTGATGCTTAATTCATTTTTAAGATGATTCCTCTCTTTTATTCTATCCCCTCCCTCTAACTTCCTTCTCCACTGATTTAGTTACCTTTTCTTCAGAGAAATGATATCTACCTATGACCATGTAGATGAAATGTGTTGCTTCTAGAGAGCTTCCTCCTGCCTCAGGAATAGTCCCAATATCTAAGGAATCTGCATCCCTCCCTTGTATATCATTCCTCAAGGGCAATGTGCTGGACTTTTACAGATGATAAACTTGGAAAGAAAAGATAAATGCTGCCGAAGTTATTAACAATGGAAAATAATTTGTGCTCCAACTATTTTATTAAATTGAGTTCAATTTTAATTTTTATTATCAACGTTATTCTGTGGACTTTTCTAAACTTTCAATGTTGTATGTAGGTCACAGTGATTGTGTGGAAGTGCTTATCTCCTGGGGTGTGGACATAGACCAAGATATTTCTTACCTGGGAACTCCCCTCTATGTAGCTTGTGTCCATCAACAGTTGCATTGTATGAAGAAACTGCTCCATGCAGGTAAACATATTTTTGAATCTTGCAGCTTCTATGTTGAGGGAATTTTGATTGTGGTACCAAGAAACAGTTCTGCACATGCTTTAGGTTTCCCTTTGAAAATACTGAATGTCTGTCTGCACTGATGTACAGAGCATTGCCTCTCCTGATGGCATTCAGTTCTTCCACATAGGTAACAATTATCCTTAACTTTCTGAGAGATTGTACTGATTTTGGAAAGATGTCACTGTTAAGTAACCACCTCTGGAAAAAAGTTAATAGGTCTAAATTATTAATTAATTATCAGGCACTGTGCGAATGAAACATTTCTCCATTTTTGATGATATTGCAAAGCAAAACCTCCAAGGATAAGAGGCGCTCTATCATTCTGATGGTTAAGATAGCAATCTTTTCACTACGATGGGAAATCCACAAGTACAAAGATTGCGATTTTTAGCATATGATAGACCTCATGGTGTTAACGATCTCTCCACAGAAATAAATGACTGAGAAATAGAATGTAATTGAGTAATGCAGCAGGAAGAGGAGAGGAACTGAAGATTGCTTGTGATCTTATGTCATCAGGTTTTTGAAAAACTTCCTTTTTTGTAAGTACATAACTCTAAAATCACCACAGTCCATTGAATAAGAATGGGGAAGATGAATTGCAGCCACAATTTCTCGTGGTGCATGCAGAGTGCAACCTTTTGGTTGAAATCCAACTAAGATAACAAGAAGACAAAGAGAATTGTTAATAAGATGAAAATTCAGCTATTACAGATCCATGGGAAGAAAGCTCATCAAATCTCTTAAAGTCACAAATTGCACTTTATCGAATGTCATCTTTGAGGTTTGGGTTTGCTTTTTATTGTAGGAGCCAGTGTCCAGAAAGGGAGACAACAGGATACTCCATTGCACGCTGCTTCCCGGCAGTCCAATCTAGATATTGTCATGTTGCTGCTTGACTTTGGAGCCAACATCAGTGCAAGAAATGCTGAAGCCAAACGACCTGTAGAAGTAGCAATTGCAAGTAGTCCAGTGGATAGATTGCTTCTCCATTATGAAGGTAAGCAGTTTATGATTGGAAACTTGAGGCATTTTGCTACAGTTACTGTTGTTGTTAAACTTGATTGTTTTACCAGTTAGAAATAAGATTGCATAGTTCATACCACCTTCTATTTATACAGACCAATTATAATGCTGTAAAATAAGCCCCTGTTCTATATTATAATGGGTTCCATCAAAGTGTAGCCACAAGTCAACACTTGGGGGGGGGGGTGTCTTATTGCCAGTGACGACACCAATCAACTCAGCACATGGGTAGAAAGTGGGCCGGTCAGCAGCGACAGCTCTCTCAAGCATTTTCAGCAGATTCTAGGATGCTGCTAACCTTGGGAGCCCTCTACAGCTGTGCATCAGACACAGAATGTTGGCCACGATTAACATTTTGCATGTGAAGACGTTGGGATATTGACAGCATGGCGATTTAAGTAGAGTGACAAGTTAAGCCATTGCTGAGTTATCAGGAGTTTGCTGTATATGTGGACAATATTATAAGCATCCAATGGTTTTCTTTTGATGTTTTACAAGAAATTTGACTGATGTTTTACTTCAGCATGTTTTCATTGCAGCAACTCCAAACTCCCTCTGCCAGCTGTGTCGACTGTGTGTTAGAGGTTGTCTAGGGAGATCCAGACTGAATCTCATTCCACAGCTTGAACTACCTAAATTACTGATGGACTTTCTGCACTATCAGTAGCCTGCTTCTCTTGTCTACTCCCAACAATCACTGTTGTAAGCAGATTTAAGGTTTTGACTTTTTGTTCCTTTCTGTATATAGTTATTAAAAATTATTGTAATATAGTTTGGAAAAGACAGTTAACATTCTTTGTATGCTTTCTCAGTCTGTGCAAACATATATAGTGTAACATGTTATGAAATGAGCTTGACTAATGCCTTGTTCACAGTGAAGCCATTTAATTTTCTTCCCCCCACCTCTCAAAGACGTACACACTGTGAGGGCGTTTCTCTGAACGTTAATAAACTTTTAAGTTTGAAGGCCTGAAGTCCTTCATATTCTAACACTTAAGGCTATTGTCTTAAAATGTAAAATCAGGTGCTACAGTTCAGAGGAAATTTAATTTCCAAATCAAAGACTCTTTTCCAAAATTCTCCACAATCTTGAGTTTAACAACCAAATTCTTAACAACAACAAATTGCATTTGTATAGCGCCTTTCACATCAGGACAACCTCTCAAGGTGCTGAATAGTCAAAGATTTGGGATCAGGAGGGGTTGGAATCAGGAATCAGGGATTAAGAATAAGGTAATAAAAATATTTTATGCCCTTGATATCTAACCTACAATGTGGTACCACCAGGGTACCTACCAGTCAAGATTAGGAAGTTTTTTGATCAACGAATTCAGAGTAGATATGTGAGTAATCAGTGAACCATCCCCATTTGTGCCTATTTATTTTCCTCCCAAATTGCATTTGATCACAGTTCTATGCCGTCTCACTTCTTTCACAAATGCCCTTGAATTGTGTGTTTTTATATTATTGTGAACCATATATGTGAAACATAGTAAAGCGGTCAGCAGGGGTGAACACACAGAAACTGACTCATTGCCATAACTGATGCTTCACATCAATAGCTGCTGCTCCCACTATTACATCAGCATTCTTGAAATAAACTACATTGAGTTAAAATTATTCTTGATTTTATTTTATTTTAAAGCAAATATCAACCATTAAAATAAATATCTAGAATTATTTTCACATTTCTGCTTATTTTCTCCCCTTTTTAAATCCTTTATGACATACATAACCTGAGTTGTGATTTCATCCCATATTTAAATACGTTTACCTACAAAATACGCAGTCACTACACTTTAAAATATATTCCATGAAGTGCTTTGAGACATCCCCCTGACGTGAAAAGCGCTGTATCAGACGTAAGGATTATTATAATATTAAATACAGATCATCATATACAGAATGAGCATCAACATTAATAATAGGTCCTTGAAGATAATAATACATTTAGAGTCTATGGTTTCTATTAATAAGAATATAGATAATCTCTGAGCAGTACACCTACAAAAGAATATCAGGTTATACATTTTGAAGTCTGTGTGTTTGGTTCATTTTGTGTTTCCTGCTTAGAAATAAGTATTCCTTCACCTTATTGATATATGCATTAGAATAAAAAACATTGAAGTTTGATGTGATTCTATATTTACGAAGAAAGATAACTATTATGGACAAGTTGGTGCAGGGGATGGTTTATGAAGCAATGCTGTAAACTTTGCATAAAACGTTTAGCAATCTTCATTATGCTGCATGACGAAGTTCATTCAATGCATTTTATAAACAAATCACGCAATAAAATTTACTCCTAATTTCCACATCTTTCACATTTTGTATATTATTCCTGTGCAAGAGCATGGGTAGTAACATGTCTGTTTGTAGCTGATCATTTAGACGTGTAAGAGAATGGTGGACGTTGACCAAGCCTTTAAAATTCTCCCACCTGTCCTTGGAGGCTGCACCTTATCTTCATTCAAAAGAATGTCAGACAGGTCAGGGTGGGAATGGGTCCTTTTCTTTCAGGAAGCCATGGAGCTCGGACCTTAGGCAAGTTTCCTTACATCTTTGTTTACCTAGCATTAAGCAGGATCCCGAGTGATTGCTTTCCAGGGAGGGCACTGCTGATGACAGCACAGCCAGTCTGGCTCATCGGCAGGACCTGGAAGGGCAGACCAGTCACTGGGGACAGGAAGTCATCCCACACAGCACCTGTTAACCCTGCAAACCAAAGCCCTAACAGGTAGGGTGGTCCTAACGGGCAGCTGGAAAGCTTACTGGTCAGCAATATCAATGGCAAGCTATGCGGTTTTAACTGGTTAGACTCCAGCAGTTACCCAAACGCACGCTCTGGGGTCCCCAAAGTTTGGCTCTCAGTTTGGTTTGGATACTCACAAGCAAGGTGACACGTTTCTGCATGTGTTGCACACCCGGCTGACCAAAGAAAAGAAAAAAAATCTTTAAGCACTCTGAGACATTACCAAGTGTGAAGGCCACTATATAATTATTTTGGGGGGAGTATATAATTGCATGTTGTTGTTTTCTGTTATTTTTACATGTATTAAATATTTTGGAAGCTTTGTTGGTATGTTTATAACTACAGGGTGACCAAAACATTGTGCTACACTATCGTGTCTAATAAGTCTTAAATAAATTATGATTTTCTTTTAGATAATAGGGTAGTTATCATGACTTTTTGTATTTGACACCCTGTATTTATAACTGAATAATATCAATAGTTGATCATTTTCTTTTATCATATGGATGAATAAAAACACCTCTCTCCACATAACCAGTTAGAGATATAGAAGTACGGAAACCAAATTGGTGTTTTATTCAGCAGCTCTGAGCTTCAAGGTTGCAGGTTCCTTGTAGCATGGACATGTTTATTTATTGCAGCAGGAGGCAGTCTAGTATAATGTTTAATGTTCACAGTTAGAGAAATCAGGTGACAAGCTAGGTTCAAAGGAGGTGTGAGACTAGCTCAGTTGTTAGCACTCTCACCTGCACGTCAGAAAATGGTGGGTTCAAACCTTATGTGAGGACTTTGAACTCACATGACAGAATAGTCTGCAGTGCAATGCCGGGGTGGGTATACTCCTTTGTCGGAGGTATTGTCCTTCATATGAGACATTAAACCAGGCTGCTCCTCCCCCTATCAATTGGACGACAAAGATCCTATAGCTCCATTTAAAAAGAGAAGGGATTTTCTCCTGCTGGATCTGCCAACAACAATTGTATTTATACAGCATCCTTCACACAGAGCACTTAACAACACTGAGCATTGCAAAATATATCTTTGTCAATGAAGGAAATACTTTGCACAAAAAGTACAATGGCATTCTGCCAGCGAGGACCTGAGAAAATATTTTTGGGTCTATCATTGCATCAATCAAAAAAAGATATCTTTTCAATACCTGTGTAAAACAAAAAGTTCCTTATTTTTAACAAATAGTCCAGAGGATATCAATGTAACATATTAGCAAATGAACAAATGGAGAGGTTAGGAGAATTGGAGTCCTGCAGCTCATTGGTTGGAGCACTCGCCTCACAAGCGAGAGACCTGGGTTCAATTCTCAGCAGGACAAAACGTTGGGCAAGTTTCCTTACTCCGCACACCTCTGTTGACCGAGAAGTAAGTAGGAACCTGGTTGTTAGTCGATTGGCAGATTGCTTTTCCAGGGGTTATAATTCCTTTTAAAAAATTATTGGTCACTCAATCCACGAATGTTCGTGGGACACTGCTGTGCGCAATTGGCTGACGCGTATACAGTCATACAGTATAAAATATACAGTCAATTCACTTTACAGTATATTCTGTGAAGAGCTTTGAGACATCTGTATGATGTAATAAGGTGCTATATCAAATGCAAGGATTATTATATGGAATTCTCTGCTGGAATGGTGGTTAAAGAAGGAATCCATATTAGCTATCATAAGAACATAAGAAATGCTAGACGATAAAAGACCATGGTCCATGTAGTTCGCCTTCCACCTTCCTGGCAGTCACATGCACATATGTCCCAAACTATCTATGTACTATATCCCACAATTTTATTTCCTAAAATAAAACTATCTAATCTGTGTTTGAAGAATCAACATTTCCTGCTTTGACCGTCTCCCTAGGGAGCCTATTCCACAGGTTCACTATTCGCTCACTGAAATAGTGTTTGCGTAGATTTGTTCTGATCGCAGGCTGTGTCCTCTGGTTACAGCTATCAAAAACGCATTAGATAAATACCTAAATAAGAGTAAGTTACAAGGGTACTGGGAAAGTGTAGGTAAATGGGACTGAAAGGATTGCTCTTAAAAAAAATGCGCCGAAAAGCCTTTTTCTGTGCTGTAAATTCTCAAGGTTCTGCAGACTGTCTCATGCTCCCGCCCCCCAAACTAGGTATTTCCTTCATTTTCCACGGTTCTGTACACTGTTTCCTTGATGTATTTAGTCAATTATTATTAATATCAAACAACCATCAGAGCAGTTTCCTGTCTTGAGAATGCAAAACAGAATGGTTTATTCAAGACGTAACTTTAACAGAAGGTCTGCTTAAATGATTGTGTAAAGGACACTAAAACAATTGCACCACACCTGCAAAAGCTTTTGCAACTGTGCAACTTAATTTTTAGCAGGGTTTGCCAGAAATTGAAATACGTTCGTAGCCCTTTTTTTGAGTTTCAGCCGGGTGCCTGACACATGCGGAAACCCATCCCCATGCTTAATAGTAGCCTTCTAATAGTGACATTCTGAACATCTGTGATCAGGGCTCCCTCTGCCTCCTTGTCCTCCTCGACCTCACTGCCGCCTTCGAGACTGTCGACCACTCCATTCTCATACACCGCCTTTCCGCTTTACTCAATCTTCATGGACCTGCCCTTGCCTGGTTCGATACCTATCTCTCTCACCGTCGTCTCCACTTTGTTGCTTCTAACAGTTTCTCCTCCTGTCCCTGCACTGTCACGTCTGGCGTCCCCCAGGGCTCTGTCCTTGGCCCTCTCCTCTTTAATATCTACATACTCCCCCTTGGTGACATCATCCACAGACATATATGCGGATAACACCCAACTCTATCTTTCTGCCTCCACCCTCAACGCCAGGGCCACTGCTGTCCTGACAGACTGCCTGTCGGACATCAAGTTCTGGATGAGGTCAAATTTCCTTCAGTTGAACGTGAACAAGACTGAGGCCCTCCTGATTGGCTCGCGCCAGCGCCTCAGCACCTCAGGCTCTGGCAGCATCAACCTCCATGGTTGCACACTGCAACTCACCGCCAGTCAGGAACCTGGGCGTCCTGTTCGACCCTCAACTATCTTTTCTCCCCCACATCCAAGCCATGACCCGCTCTGCCTTCCCTCATCTCCGTAACATCACCCGACTCCACCACTACCTCACCCCTCAGGCCGCTGAAACTCTTGTTCATGCCTTCATCCCCTCCAGGCTCGACTTTGCAAATACTTGCTTGTCGGCCTTCCCAACTCCTCCCTCCAGAGACTGCAGATAATCCAGAACTCTGCAGCCCGTGTCCTCTCCCGCACCAAATTCCATGACTCCATCTCCCCATTCTCGCCCGACTCTATTGGATCCCTATCTTTCAGAGGATCCAGTTCAAGATCCTGGTCCTCACATACAAAGCCCTCCATGATCTTGATCCACCCTACCAC